CGTCCGTGTCTGGAAAAATTACATAAACCCACCAGGACCACTAACGTTCATCCAACAACAGCACGATGGCTGGCTGGATACTTGGGAAGCAGTGACCAACACGGTCAGCATTTATTCGGCTTACTGGGACTCGAGACCAAGAGAGTTATCGACCAGACCAGTGATACGAATTATTGGTCGTCTCGGTACTCAATATTGGCGGGACACCACGGAGCGTATGATTAGTGACTTAAAATGCATGTTGCGTTATGGAGATATATTATCTACCAGCTTTTCGACCATCAGAACTTATGGAGTTAAACCAACCTTTCTGAAAATGGAAAAGCATCAATGGCATGAAGTCTCTGTTGAATTTGTTTGTAGCCCAAAGAATAACCAACACGTTCCTAGCGAGGTAACAATTATAAGAAATAATGATTCACTCTCTAAGGCACTGTGGATACGTGTTCATCATATGGATGAAGTAAAACGTACAGACTGCTCCCTGAAAGAGATAGCAGTCTGTATTAAGCCTTTAACTGAATTTCATAATTCAACTTTTCAGGTAGCCGAGTTTTTAGCTTACTATCTCAGTGTTGGAGCCAAAAGGTTTACTTTCTATGATCTAGGTATGACTTACAATGTTCGAGAACTCTTGTATCAACTATCCCACAATGGAGTTGCTATCGACATCCTTCCCTGGTACCCTCTGTTACCAAATATTTTAGAAGGACTCAAGACAAGCTTTCGTTTGCCACGGCGACATAGCACCTGGGTGGCTAGCATTCAAGACTGTATGTTACGTCACACTTACAGATATGGGTTAGTGGTGGTTGTTGATATTGATCAGTTTATTGTGCCCCAGGTACCAGAAGTTAGTTCTTTACAGGAGTTAGTAATTCATCTAGAGAATCCTAATGGAGATAAAGCTTTTCAGTATGGAGAATACCGTTTTCTTCATGCTCACTTCTGTTTAAATTATCCATCCTTCTATGGTAAGTTTCCTCAATTACATAGCATGACTAAAGTTGAGAGAAGGCAAGTATCTGAGGGATATTGGGGTTCAAAGTACATAGCTCGTCCAGAACTGGTAGATCGAGTGGCAGGATTCAGTATAGCAAGCCAGCTAGGTAAAGCCATGATTAGGTATGTCAAAAGAACAGAGGCTTTACTCCATCACTATAGACTTTCTAGTCCACTATACAAGTGTGGTGACTATCGCCAGGAAAAAGAAGCAGGACTAGTAGTATATGACGCCACTTTGCCAACTCACTTTGGAAAAGCCATAAGAAGATACATTTCAGAGTGGTCACACCTTCTTGAAGAATGAGAAGCGTTTCTTATCCTTAAATCAAGGAAATATTTATTATCATACACAATCTTCCTCAGTATTATGATGAATTTGTTGTGTGTTTTGATACAAGATAATCTTCTATTATTTTTTTTTGCATTAGAATTATAGCATGGTGACATTATAAACAAAATACAATCACATGAAGGAAAAAAACAACTTGCTTAGTGATGGTTCTGGTTTAAAATTTTGGAGCACAATTACATTAAGAGTAGAAATACTTCAAAGTTTTATTGACATGGAAGAAAGATGACTAGTTATCTTCCCTTTATTTTTAAGAGAATTGAATGTCTCCCTCAGGATGTGGAGCGAGGTTTTAACTCTCACAAACATACTTTTTTGTATGTTTTATTTTATGGCAACTTCTTAGACTAAGAACTTTAGGACAGTGATGTTTCTTGTCTAGAGGATGGTTTATATTTCTTACTTGTTAAGTAAGATGTACCCTTATCTTCAGCAGTGACTTTGTTATAACTGATACACTTCTAATAATAATGTTGCTTCTTCTGGAGAACTGACGATACATTTCTAGTTATGTTGCTAATCTAATCTCCAGCAGTGATTTAATGTCCAAATTAACAATGACTTTGTTATAACTGATACACTTCTAACAATAATGTTGCTTCTTCTGGAGAACTGACGATACATTTCTAGTTATGTTGCTAATCTAATCTCCAGCAGTGATTTAATGTCCAAATTAACAATGACTTTGTTTGAAGAAAGGCTCATATTTCTAGTGAAGATGCTGCTTATATTAAATACACTATAATTATATATAAAAAAAAAGTATATATCAAAATGTGACAAAAGATGTTTAACTTACCCTTTTGACAAAGTAGTGGGAAATAGTTAATAATTAGACAATAAATTGATGATGGCATGTTCTTCTAACTCTTGAGTATTTTGAAGTAAAATAAAATTTGTTGAGACTTTTAAAAAAATGAGTCCTGACCAAAACTGAAGCAAGACAATTACATAATTGTAAAAATATTTTCTGGAAAATTAATTACATATTTTACAATCTTATGCCCAATAAAAAAAAAGCTTTATATGATAGGAAAATATATATAAACCTTAAAAAGTTTTAGTAATACTAAATTTATTGTAGAACAATAAATGAAAAACATTAAAGGCAGAATAATGTGTCCGTGTTTTCTTTTGTTCTAAAGTTTAGTTAATTATCCAGATATTTTCTATAAACCTATAAGCTCACTATGACTTCTTGAGGTTCACATAATTTACTGAACTGCATCCAATCTTTGTATCACAGGACAGTGCTATCAATACTAAACAAAGAAATATTTTGCAATATTCTAGGTAATGTTGAAAAATATATGAATTCAACTGCTTAAAAACTATATCTTAAAAAGATTAAATCTACATTTTATTTGTTAACTGGGTATGAAGATAGAAAATATTTGTATGAAACAGCTAACTCTCTAATACACTAAACCCAATAAATAAATAAAAAATGTCAGCTGCAACATCTTATCACTTGTAGAAATGGTACTTTTTCTTTTGAAAACTAGCTCCCTAATAGTCCATCTCTGTTATTTTGTGAATTCAATGAATTAAACAAGCATTTAATTCAAATGCTGCTCAACTGTGAAGAATCCTCAAAATTTACATTTAAGTTTTAACAAATAGTATGATCTACTCCTTCAATCCACATAAATTTAGTTTCCACTTTCAGCCAATGGTATAATCTTGTCCTTGGATCCTCATAAGTTTAGTTTCCACTTTCAACCAATGGTATAATCTAGTCCTTGGATCCTCACAAGTTTAGTTTCCAGAAACAGCCAATGGTATAATCTAGTCCTTGGATCCTCACAAGTTTAGTTTCCAGATACAGCCAAAGGTATAATCTAGTCCTTGGATCCTCACAAGTTTAGTTTCCAGATACAGCCAATGGTATAATCTAGACCTTGGATCCTCATAAGTTTAGTTTCCACTTTCAGCCAATGGTATAATCTAGTCCTTGGATCCTCACAAGTTTAGTTTCCAGAAACAGCCAATGGTATAATCTAGTCCTTGGATCCTCACAAGTTTAGTTTCCAGATACAGCCAATGGTATAATCTAGACCTTGGATCCTCATAAGTTTAGTTTCCTCTTTCAGCCAATGGTATATCCTTATCCTTGGATCCTCATAGAAGTTTAGTTTCCAGATACAGCCAAAGGTATAATCTAGTCCTTGGATCCTCACAAGTTTAGTTTCCAGATACAGCCAATGGTATAATCTAGTCCTTGGATCCTCATAAGTTTAGTTTTTATTTTCAGACAACTGTATGATCTAATCCTTGAATATGTTGATGATCTTACTGACTTCACATCAATGCAAATAAAATTATACTCTCAAACCACTTGTTTTTGTTGTGTGTTACAAAGTTAAAAAATAAACATTAAGACAACAGGGTAGAAAAGTCATTCTGATATATTTTAACAGTTATTATGATAAAGGCAATTAATTTGACTTCTAATGATACACAAGATTTGAGAGAACCTGTAAAAACTAATCTCTAATTTTGAAATACATTGATACTAAATTTTTGGTAGGCTTAGGTTTATTCCTACTTCATTATTTTTTTTGAACTAGAAAACTTCCAAATTAAAACAATAGAAAAAATGGAGGAATTGCAGGTATTTATTTTCCAAATCATAAATATGTACAGGTAACTGAATCTTTGTTAGGCCTAAATAAAATATGCTATTAAACCAGGTAAGTGTAATAAAATTAAAATTTTTACACTTATCTAATCAATCTCTACATTTTTTTAAAGCTTAAAACCATTAATATGTACGTTAGTTACATCTTACATGTACTAGAAAGCATAATGTCTAATAATCTGAAAACCATGAATTATCAAATTAAATAGGGCTTTAACATTTTCAGTATTACTTGTAACGTCTTCAGAAAAGTATGTAAAATTATTTAAAAGGTAGTGTTAATATCAGTTTTACACACAAATTCATTTTGCCATACTATAATGATTTGTTCCAAAGATTTTTTTGTAACAATGAATTTTCTTTCCTTAAAAAACCATAAATTCCAGAAGACTCTGCCATATTGATGAGTACAATGGAATGGACAGCAACTGCTTGTTGTATAAAAACGTAAGTGTAGAGGATGACATTTTGAAAGTCTTCTGTCATCTTTTTGAAGATGGAAGACTTTTGAAACATTAAACAAAACAAATTGAAACATTGTACTCATCATGAATACTCTGCCTAAATAATCTATCAAAGAAAATCTGACATATTTTTAATAACTCACAATACTAAAAGCATTAGCTCTTTTACACATAATTCACATTAAGTTAAATCATTTTTTTCCACAGATGGCTCTGAACTTACTTTTAGACCCTTTATCATAATTACCAGTTCATTAATTGTATCTTAATTATTTTAAAAGACCATGTGGTATACAATTATTTTCTATCAAATGATTTTCACTGCAATTTTTATTCACTTTTAATTTAAATAGTTATAGAGTCATTCTAACACAGAGAATGGGAAAAACTTTAAATCTTAGCTTAAAAATTTTCTATACAGGTGCAAGAACATAGAAGTATTTTATGAAACCTGTAGTTATATATTTCAATTAATGATGTGACTTAATTAGAGAAATCTAAAATAAATATCACTCTTGTATTTTAAAAAGTTTTGAAACAATTCAGTGATTAAAATTGGTATTTATTTCTGTCTTTCTAAGTTACATTTCATACACCTTTAAAAACATTATAAAAATTGGTAAATTTTCACAATGACTTTAAACTTAATAACATGAGTAAATTTTTGCCTGTGAAAGTTTACATTGTTATCTAAAAAAAACTATAATGACCTTTCTGTCTGAGATAAAATTAATCAAAATTCACGTCGGTGGTACTTGTCAGGATCAAAATAAGATGTAACGACAACTCTGTTGGCAAACTTTCTTCCTGTAAGATTCTGCTGAGCTTTTTGACAATCAATAACTGAGTTGAACTCTATAAAAACCTGAAGAAAAAAAAACACAGTTTCTTTTGAATTTCAATTCATACTTATAATAATTATGAAAAAAAAAGAGAGAAAGAGGGTGAGAATACAGTTATGTTTTACATTCACTAAGACAGTTAAACTTTACAAAATCCTACTTGGATATATGAATACTCTTGTTTGAATTTTCAAGTAATAGCTTATCTATTCTTTCAGACACATTCTGAAGAATAAAAATAATTAATAAAAGCTAAGTTTTGTAGTATTTATGTTTATCATTAACTTTCAAGTCTATACAGAGGTGAATTGCATTTAACTTGGATCATGTAGTGGCTTAAAATGTTTGTCAAATAAAAAAGAAAATCTAACACAAGAGCTGGCGCAGGTCATCAACAGGCCAAACACTGCAAGTTGTGAGACTAGCTGGTCCATTACACTTGAGTATTTTAGGTAAACTGTACATTCCAGCTGTGCTGAGGTTACTCGGAATACAGTTCTTTTTTTCTTCGTCATGAAAATTTGTTAAATTATTTACAGTAGGTTGAACTTTATCAAGTGTGTTTTGAAATGTGAATTTTTTTTAGCTCTTTGTAGGTTGCAACCATCAGTAACTCTGAGATGCCATTAGCACGATGTCAAGAGTCTACAACTACAGTTTGATTGCTTTTAGAAATTTTGGTGTCTTTGCATTCTCTTAATTTTTTTTTAGAACACTTCAAATTTTTTTTTAGTGTTGATCTTCCTGTTTTTTTTTCAAAGTGTTTTTTAGGTAGTCATAATTTTATGGTAAAATGTTTGTACAGTAACTTTTTATATCTTTTTCATCTTCACTGCATTTTATTAAGTTTGTTTCTATAGCAATGAGTAAATATTCTTTATTGGGTTTTGTTAGTAAGGAAAAATGTAGGCAAAGTGATAAGAATTCTTTCTATTCTGGAGTTAAATCTTGACCCTGTATTTATAAGTGAAACAAAAGTGGTCTGAAAGTGTGAAGATAGTGACCATAAAAGCAAAAGATCACTGTATAAAGGTCATAAGGCATCATCAAAGTAAAGTTGGTACTTGTGTTTGATGGATGTATTTTCTTGTTGTCTAACTTGTCTTTTACGTTCTTTTAAGACGAAAGGAGACCGTATTTAATTGAAATCTATGCCTCGATCATTGTTCAGAGTCATATGGAGAGTTCTGATGAAGAAAGATCCTTTCAGTTCCCTTATTTTTTGTTTTTTTCTGAAATCAGGAATTTGATGTTTATTCCAACTGATGATAAAACCAGTGTTGCAGTTATGTCCAGCTCAGGCTGATTTTTTCGGATACAGTAGTCTGGTGAAATCTTGTAGGACAAAGAGGATATACAAAAAGAAAAAACAGATATTCTCTTCCATCAAACTCTGACAAATATCTACAATTCTAATCTAACCATCTACTCTCTCTTATAGCCAGAAATAACTGTCTCTCTGATTGTGCCAAAAAACTCTAACATAAAAGACAAAAAAAAAGACCACATTGAACAAGTCCTTCATTTCCTGCAATTTCATCCATACCTCCTCAAAAATTGGTTCTATTTCTCAAATGAATAATTTAGCCATTATGACCCAAGCATTTGTTCCACAATTAAGCTACAAAGTTACATGAACGTGTAAAATAATTAATATTCAAGTTTACTAAAAATCAAGAACACTCAAAAACTTATAAAAGTAAAAAAAACAACTTGCAGAGACAACATGTTATTGTTATTTACAAGATAACTTGTTTCTGGGAGGGAAGCATATATTGGAGAAACTTGATGAACAGTATCTCAAGGAACACCAAGATGACATTTAACTACTGTATCACTATTAGCTGAACATAACTACACCACCAACCATATCACCAGCTGTAATCAACGCCAAACTATTTACTTCTTTCAGTTTCTCTATTTACGTTGGAAAATAAGGAAACTGAAATAACCTTTCTTCATCAAAACTCTCCAAATGACCCTAAACTATGTTAAAAGGCATATATGTCAATCAAATGTTGTCTCCTTTCATTTTAAAGAATACAACGTGAAAAATATGCCCATTCGACCTTCACACACTTGAGTCTATTGTTTACAGCTGCTTTCTTCACTTTTTAAGATTTTTTTTCCTTCAAATTATTACGCTAAACTGTCCCATGCTCTTCAGCCCTCTCTTGTGGTTGCACCTTTCTCTGGTATTACACCTCAAAATGTTTGAGAAACTTTCGCAGCTCTAAACGTAATCCTCAACAGACATATGCAGTCCATAAAAGTTCTGAATATAGTACAGTCTCTTCTGCTTAAACTTTCTCTTAAATAGATGAAATTAGTCTTAGAAAATAAACATCATTAACATTTTAAATTACCTAACACTAAAAGAATTTAATCTCTCTCTCTCTACTTTATCAAGTCACACCAGGTCAAACGGAAAGTTCTAATAATGTAATAATGCCTCTTTCTTGAGCTAACTGGTTTGAAGTGAGAACTGTACTTTATTAACAGTAGAGAAGAAACAGGTTTAACTACTTCACTACATGCTCAGTCCCAGGGACTAACCTCGTAACCATTTTGTGCTTGTTATAGTTTTCATGCTGTAACTTTTAATACAGTAAGCATATCTTTACGAAATTTTGCAGATTATCAGTAAACATTACAAGGCTTTCGTATGCAAAATATCAGATTTGTTTATTGCATTTTATGATTTTTTTAAGTAATGATTTTCTCGTGCCATTTTTCTTTTCGAATGTTGACTATCCAACGTGCAAAGTAATTTTGATTTTCAAATTTCACATGCGAAATCTTTATAACCTCCAGATAATTATCAAATATTTCTTTTAGAAAAAAATTTATATTTTATCTGTTATTTTCACTATTGTTTCTCTGTATGGCCTTGGTCAAATTGACTGATCTCGTAACCACCATAAAAAATTGAGAAATAGATATAAATTATGCTTTTTTCATTCTAGAATGACTACAAATTATAACACAAATGTTTACTCTAAATAGCTTAAATCTCATAACATTATACATATATTTATTAATTTTATTTTATTGACCATTCAGCCGTGCCTGACTAACATTACAGAAGTTGCACAAGCTTCAGTTTCAATGTAACACTTACTTTACCACATCCAGGAACATCTACACCTTCTATAGGACGAGGGATTTCAAGACTTTTAACCACTCCATATTTGTTGCATTCTTCTCTTATGTCTTCCAAAATATCTATACAAAGCAAGATACTTAACTAATGAACTACCCAAATAATCAACAGTTCTTAATTTTTTAATAGCATTTTATGTTTATTTTAATATTTATAACATAAAACAATTTTCTTTGGTTTCACTAGCTTTTTAAAATGAAATGCCTTATAACTATCTCAGTGAAAGTTAGAATAAGTTTCTCTGGAACCATACACTTCAAGAAAAGTAAGCATGAAGTAACGAATTGTTTATGATATAATTTATACATTTCATGTAACTTCACAAGTTCAAACAGAGGTAAGAAAATATGACATCCAGATAATGATTATACCTGAAAATGTTTTCTATTATAAATGATATTCATAAAAACTTTTTTCAAACTGTTTACATTAATAATCTGACAGCTTTGTTCGTAAAAAAGGAGTAAAAATGTCTCACTAACCCTCGTATTCTTCTTCATCCACGAGTTCATCTGGAATTACCATATTCATAAGACAAAGTACTTCGGTAGGAGGACCTGCCCCACCAGAAAGTTGAAGACCAGGTACCTGGATCTGTACAGGAACCTGAGTAGTGAAATAAAAATAACCAAAACAAATCAAATTATTTAAAGATTACAGGTACCTGGATCTGTACAGGAACCTGAGTAGTGAAATAAAAATAACCAAAACAAATCAAGTTATTTAAAGATTACACTAAAAATGTGCACATTTTAGTTTAGGTGTGATAATGTTATTTTAAACAAATGTCCCATCAGGTTAATTACGTAATGTTAGGAAAACATATAATTATCAGACTTATAATAGTAAACCATAAGAAGCAAATATAGAAATACTGAGAATAGAAGTTATACAGTCAGTTACTCACAGCCATTGTACTATTTCTGGCTCCTACACTAGCTCTCTGTACAATTAGTTTTTTATCTCCTAGCTGCATTCCGTTCAGTCCGGCTATGGCCTAAACAGAAGTTAAGAATAATACAATGAAGTTATGTTCATATACCTTAAAAAATTTTACCCCCCTCTGTCTCCAACATGGTTACCATTTACTCTAGACATATCGTGAAATACCATTAAAAACTTGTACTTTAGTAGAGGTTTTAAAATATTTCTTTTTAAAACTACTTACATCAATTATTATAACTTTGGAAACAAAAAAATAAAAAATCAGAGACTAGAATTTTATCACAAGGAATCTGAACTTTCATTTGTAGTTTTAACATATCATCCATACTGCTAATCATAGTATCAAACAATTTTATAATAACAGTAATAAAAAAAAAGCAGAAATCACATATAAGAACATTTCCCCTCATATTATAACATATACATATCTACACTTCACTGACAAGTCTTTTCATTTTCAGTTACATTAAGGGAAATGTCTTTAAGATTTCAACTTTCTGTTTTATGCATTTTTCAAAGGTAACTGACCATTACAACAGAATGAAATTAAAACACTAATACAATTGTAAGTTCATCACACTACAAAGCTTGTTTCCGAGGTGTTCCTAGTTTACTGAGAATATTTCATATCATTATTATTCGTGTCTATGTGCTTTTTTTTAAATACCCATACAGATATGTATCTATGTAATCTTTCTTTCGTTTCAAAAGACTTTCTTTCACTACTCTCAGTTTCTTCACTTTTATTGTTTATAAAAACCTAAATTATAAATGCTGAGGAGTGTCATTTTGAGATGTATTTATTATTCTAACTGGAGTGGTTGTCTGTCTGATAAAAATTTTGTTTATACACTTTATATTAACTTGGTACTTTCATTGAAACTGTTAGTTTTATAATATTAACAAACATACTTCATTTTACAATCATTCTTTAGTTACAAACTTACAAATCAAACTATGCTGGGTTTAATATAAAAAAAGTTGCCTATTCTTGTAGGTTTATCAAACTTCTCGATAAGAGTATGACTGCTTCCCGAGTATATAAAAAAAAGAAGTTGTAACTCATATTTTTTTACCATTAAGTACATCAAGAGAGTCATCGATTTCCAATTAAATTATATTTTTGTTGTACATAACACACAGTAATAATAATAATCACAGTTTAAAGTTTGCACTTTGACACTGGTAATGCTTTATGAATAAATCAACTATATTGGTTTCAATCATCTTTACTGGTTGTTTGAAAATCTGTAAAAAACATGTAATATTTATTAAGATGTAAAAGTGCTGCTTTAAATATTTGGTAAGAAAAAATGTTTTATTTAAACATACCAACGAAGCCATTACGGTTTTCTATATAAATTATAAATTGAGCTGCATAGTATGTTATATAGATTACTGTGTCTTGCAACCAGCTGAAGCTTTAAAAGAACATCTTTCATCAAGGTTTCTGAAATAATGCAGGAGAATATTAAACCTGTTAACTTTTTAATACTTTTATACATACTATTAAAACTCTTACCTGATCAGTGAGATTTACATCAAAATATTCACAGAAGGCATAACCTTTAGAGAGTCCTGTTGCACTGTCCTTTACCAAGTTAAAAGCTCTAAGTTGACCAAAAGACATCAGTAATTCCTTGACCTGGAAACATCATAATTTATAAGAACCTCGAAAATAACTGTACCTTTAAATTAAAATTGACAGGAAAAGAAGCTGTGATCTAATTGTACAAGGAGCAAGTAAAAGTGTGTGCAAGAAGAATGTAACAAAATCTTAGTACCTTTAACCTTTTTTACAAATAACAAAATATTGATACATGGTATTCCTCAGCTCAAATGATGCATACAGTGCTAGGCAGCCATTCTTTATACTACACTTTGGTACTTTGGAAACAGTACATATACAGAAAGGTTTGTACTTTTTAATGACACAGTTAAAATTATAGAAGTCTTACTCAAAATATAATTTTTTTTAAGTTGAAAAAAAACTACATCCTTTCCAAGCTTTGAAATTATATACTACATGATGAAATGAATTATAATTTCCCATAAGCATGAATATTCTTCAGGCTAAAAAAGTACTAATAATCACAGTATGAAATTTTATACTTTCTGGATATGGAACTAGTAGGCACCACATATGGTTCCATGGAAATTAGGCTGAAATATGAGAAAACGATGAAACAGAGTTATTGTACCACCATATGGCCCATCAGAACATGCTGTTGGAGCTGTACAGTTAATACGGCTACAATTTTACTGCTACAGTAACAATCCAAGGTATGGACCATGCACAACGACTGCGGTCAGCAGATTAATTAGAAAGCTCTAAGAGAAAGAAGTGTAACTAACTGATAACATTATCATGAGTTATTGCACACTTGTGCCATATCAAAATTTCAAAAGTATGGATGTGTCATACTCATGCAGGAAGTACTCCAATACATACCACCCTTCAATAACACTATTCGTACAGACTCTTGGCTCCATCTTCCATCGTCTCTAGCCACCGTGCTAACCTGACCTCACTCCTACTAACAACCGGATGTGGTTGTTTCTCGGTTATGACAATGGAATTCATCAACTGAAGGATGAAAGCATAATTGTCAGGATGGATGCAATAATAAAAAAATGATGATAGCAACAATGAACAACTGTTGTAGAGGCTACTCCTTCAGCTACTCCCAGAAACCGGTGGAATGCACCTCTGTGATCCCTAATGCTATATGATTCACTCTATGTAAGGTTTCAAGTACCTATACTAGTCTCATAATCATATTGTATATATATATATATAT